GGGTGGTGAGGGCTGTGTGTTGGTCTACAGGAGGACTACAGGGTGGTGGGGGCCTGTGATGGTCTACAGGGAGGACTGGAGTGGTGAGGGGCCTGTGTGTTGGTGGGAGGACTACAGGGTGGTGAGGGCCTGTGTTGGTCTGGGGAGGACTACAGGGTGTGGGGCCTGTGTGTTGGTCTGGGGAGACTACAGGGGTGTGTTGAGCCTGTGTGTGGTCTGGGGGACTACAGGGGTGGGGCCTGTGTGTTGGTCTGGGGAGGGACTGGGGTGGGTGAGGAGCCACCTGTGTGTTGGTCTGGGGAGGACTACCAGGGTGTGGGAGCCTGTGTGTTGGTCTGGGAGGACTACTGGGTGGTAAGGGCACATGTGTTGGTCTGGGAGGTTTGGGGTGGTGAGGGCCTGTGTGTTGGTCTGGGAGGGACTACAGGTGGTGAGGGCCTGTGTGTTGGTCTGGGAGGGACTACAGGGTGTGGGGCCTGTGTGTTGGTCTACAGGAGGACTACAGGGTGGTGAGGGGGCCTGTGTGTTGGTCTGGGGAGGACTACAGGGTGGTGAGGCCTGTGTGTTGGTCTGGGAGGGACTACAGGTGTTGAGGGCCTGTATGTTGATCTACAGGAGGACTACAGGTGGTGAGGGCCTGTGTCTTGGGTCTACAGAGGGACTACTGGGGTGGTGAGGGCCTGTGTGTTGGTCTGGGGAGGGACTACAGGGTGGTGAGGGGGCCTGTGTGTTGTGGTCTGGGAGGGCCTACAGAAATTGGTAGGGCTGTGTTGGTCTGGGAGGCTTCTGGGGTGGTGAGGCCTGTGTAATGGTGGTCTGCAAGGGTGATGGGAGGACTACTACCTGGGGTGGTGAGGGCCTGTATGTTGATCTGGGGAGGACTACAGGTGGTGAGGCCTGTGTGTGGGTCTGGGGGACTACAGAACAGTGAGGGGCCTGTGTGTTGGTCTGGGACTACAGGTGGTGAGGGCCTGTGTGTTGGTCTGGGAGGACTACAGGGTGGTGAGGGGCCTGTGTGTTGGTCTGGGGACTACAGGGGTGGTGAGGGCCTGTGTGTTGGTCTGGGAGGACTACAGGGTGGTGAGGGCCTGTGTTGATCTGGGAGGACTGGGGTGGTGAGGGCCTGTGTGTTGGTCTGGGGGAGGGACTACAGGGTGGTGAGGGCCTGTATGTTGAGTCTGGGAGGACTACCCCAGGGGTGGTGAGAGCCTGTGTGTTGGTCTGGGACTACAGGGTGGTGAGGGGCCTGTGTTTTGGTCTGGGAGGGACTACAGGGGTGGTGAGGGGCCTGTGTTGGTCTGGGAGGGACTACAGGGTGGTAAGGCCTGTGTGTTTGGGGTCTGGGAGGGACTACAGGGGTGGTGGGGGCCTGTGTGTTTGGTCTGGGGAGGACTACAGGTGATGAGGGGGGCCTGTGTGTTTGGTCTGCAGGACTACAGGGGTGGGTGAGGGGCCTGTGTGTTGGTCTGGGAGGACTACTGGGGTATTGAGGGGGCCTGTGTGTTGGTCTACACGGAGGACACAGGTGGTGAGGGGCCATGTGTTTGGTCTGGGGAGGGACTACAGGGTGGTGAGGGGGCCTGTGTGTTGGTCTAAAGGAGGGACTACAGGAGTGGTAGGGGCCTGTGTGTTGGTCTGGGAGGACTGGGGTGGTGAGCCTGTGTGTTGGTCTGGGAGGGGCTACAGGGTGGTGAGGGGCCTGTGTGTGTTGGTCTGGGGACTACAGGGGTGGGGCAGGGGCCTGTGTGTTTGGTCTGGGAGGACTACAGGGTGGTGAGAGCCTGTGTGTTGGTCTGGGAGAACTACAGGGTGGTGAGGGGCCTGTGTGTTGGTCTCTGGGAGGACTACAGAGTGGTGAGGGCCTGTATGTTGATCTATGGGAGGACTACAGGGGTGAGGGGCCTGTGTGTTGGTCCTGCAGAAGGACACAGGGTGGTGAGGCCTGTATGTGGTCTGGGAGGGACTGGGGTGGTAATTTCAGATGTTGATCTACAGAGGGACTACAGGTGGTAGGGGCCTGTGTGTTTGGTCTGGGAGGACTACAGGGGTGGTGAGGCTGTATGTTTGATCTACAGGAGGACTACAGGTGGTGAGGGCCTGTATGTTGATCTACAGGAAGGACTGCAATTGGTGAGGGACACCATGTTGGTCTGGAGGACTACATGGTGGTGAGGCCTGTGTGTTGATCTACAGGAGGACTACAGGGGTGGTGAGGGGCCTGTGTGTTGGTCTGGGAGGGACGCTACAGGGTGGTGAGGGCCTGTGTGTTGGTCTACAAGGGACTACAGGGTGGTGAGGCTGTGTTGGTCTACAGGGTGGCATTGGGAGGACTGGGGTGGTGAGGGCCTGTGTGTTGGTCTCGGGGAGGACTACAGGGGTGGTGAGGGGCCTGTGTGTTTGGTCTGGGGAGGGACTACAGGTGGTAGGGGCCTGTGTGTTGGTCTCTGGGAGGACTACAGGGGTGGTGAGGGGCCTGTGTGTTGGTCTGGGGAGGACTACAGGGTGGTGAGGGCCTGTGTGTTGGTGGGACTGCAGGGTGGTGAGGGGCCTGTATGTTTGATCTACAGGAGGACTCCCTAGGGTGGTGAGGGCCTGTGTGTTGGTCTACAGGGGGATTACAGGGTGGTGGGGGCCTGTGTGTTGGTCTGGGGAGGACCTACAGGGTGGTGAGGGGGGCCTGTGTGTTTGGTCCTACAGGTGATACAGAGGGACTACAGGGGTGGTGGGGCCTGTGTGTTGGTCTGGGAGGGACTACAGGGTGGTGAGGGCCTGTGTGTTGGTCTGGGGAGGACTACCGTTGGTGTTTCCTATGTTGATCTGGGACTACAGGGTGGTGGGCCTGTGATGGTCTGGGGAGGACTACAGAACGTGGGGGGCCTGTGTGTTTAGTCTGGGAGGGACTACAGAGATTGGTGAGGCCTGTGTGTTGGTCTAGGAGACCACAGGGGTGGTGAGGGCCTGTGTGGTCTGGGAGGACTACAGGGTGGTGAGGGGGCTGTATGTTGGTCTCTGGGGAGGGACTCTAGGTGGTGAGGGGCCTGTATGTTGATCTATAGGAGGACTACACACAGAATGGTGAGGGCTGTGTGTTGGTCTGGGAGGACTCCTGGGGTGGTGAGGGCCTGTGTGTTTGGTCTACAGGAGGACTACAGGGGTGGTGAGACCTATGTTTAAGTCTGGGAGGACTCTAGGGGTGGTGAGGGGCCTGTATGTTGATCTACAGGAGGACTACAAGTGGTGAGGCCTGTGTGTGTTGGTCTGGGAGGACTCCTGGGGTGGTGAGGGGGCCTGTGTGTTTGGTCTGGGGGACTACAGGGTGTGGTAGGGAGGCCTGTATGTTGGTCTGGAGGACCTACAGGGGTGGTGTTGAGGGGGCCTGTGTGTTGGTCACAGGAGGGACTACAGGGGTGGTGGGGGGCCTGTGTGTTGGTCTGGGGGGACTTACCAGGTGGGTGAGGGCCTGTGTGTGTTGGTCTACAGGAGAGACTACAGAACAGTGAGGGCCTGTGTGTTGGTCTGGGAGGACTACAGGGGTGGTGAGGGCCTGTGTGTTGGTCTGGGGAGGACTACAGGGGTGGTGAGGGCCTGTATGTTGATCTGGGAGGACTCTAGGAGTGGTGAGGCCTGTGTATTTGGTCTGGGAGGTTACAGGGTGGAAGGTGAGGGCCTGTGCCTTGTTTGGTCTGGGAGGACTGGGGTGGTGAGGGGCCTGTGTATGTTGGTCTACAAGGGTGATACAGGAGGGACTACAGGGTGGTGAGGGCCTGTGTATTTGGTCTGGGAGGACTACAGGGTGGTGAGGGCCTGTGTGTTGGTCTGGGAGGACTGGGGTGGTGGGGCCTGTGTGTTGATCTGGGAGGGACTACAGGTGGGCGGGGCCCTGTGATGGTCTGGGGAGGGACTACAGGTGGTGAGGGGAGCCTGTGTGTTGGTCTACTGGGAGGACTACAGGGTGGTGAGGCCTGTGTGTTGGTCTGGGAGGACTGCAAATTGGTGAGGCCTGTGTGGTCTGGGGAGGACTGGGGTGGTGAGGGCTGTGTGTTGGTCTACAGGAGGACTCCTAGGGTGGTGAGGGCCTGTATGTTGGGACTACAGAATTGGTGGGGCCTGTGTGCTGTCTGGGGAGGACTCTAGGGTGGGCAGGGGCCCTGTGTGTTGGTCTACAGGAGGACTACAGGGTGGTGAGGCCTGTATGTTTTGGTCTGGGAGGACTACAGAACAGTGGGGCCTGTGTGTTGGTCTGGGGACTCTCAGGTGGGCAGGAGCCTGTGTGTTGGTCTCGGGAGGGACTACAGGGGTGGTGAGGGGCCTGTGTGTTTGGTCTGGGAGGACTGGGGTGGTGAGGGGCCTGTGTGTTGGTCTACAGGAGGATACAGGGGTGGTGAGCCTGTGTGTTGGTCTGGGAGGACTACAGGGGCCTGTGTGTTGGTCTACAGGAGGACTCTCGGGGTGGTGAGGGCCTGTGTGTTGGTCTGGGAGGACTCCTAGGGTGGTGAGGGCCTGTATGTTGACCTGCGGAGGACTACAGGGTGGTGAGGGCCTGTGTGTTGGTCTGGGAGGACTACAGGGTGGTGAGGGCCTGTGTGTTGGTCTACAGAGGATACAAGGGTGGTGAGGGCCTGTATGTTGATCTACAGGAGGACTACAGGGTGGTGAGGGCCTGTGTGTTGGTCTGGGAGGACTACAGGTGGTGAGGCTGTGTTGGTCTGGGAGGACTAGGGTGGTGAGGGCCTGTGTGTTGGTCTGGGAGGACTGGGGTGGTGAGGGGCCTGTGTGTTGGTCTGGGACTACAGGGTGGTGAGGGCATGTGTGTTGATCTGGGAGGACTACAGGGTGGTGAGGGCCTGTGTGTTGGTCTACAGGAGGACTACAGGGTGGTGAGGGCCTGTGTGTTGGTCTACAGGAGGACTACAGGGTGGTGAGGGCCTGTGTGTTGACCTACAGGAGGACTACAGGGTGGTGAGGGCCTGTATGTTGACCTACAGGGTGATACAGGAGGACTACAGGGTGGTGAGGGCCTGTAGCTCGACGGAGAAGTCCCATTGCTGTGAGAGAAGGTTGTTGTGGCAAGGCTGAGCGAGAGCACCGTAGTCGCTGGCGGAATCGAGACACAGACCTGAGGCACCGTGTTGTAACTCAGCGGCCTGGCGCAGCCTCTGGGGACACACACACACACATGAAGTAACATTTACACATACATTGAAAAATTAATTAAGAAAGTTATCCCTGCATCTTTCTTTGATTTTTAAAAGTTATTGTCAGATGCAGAAAGTGACTTGATCTGTGTGTCTATAAGTTTATCACTGACAGTCAGTCTTATGAACACAACCTATTATACCGTTAGGGTGTGTCATACACACATGAGGCGAATTTTTTTTTTTGAGTTTGAAAAATCGGCCCATGGTATTAATGATGAGTTCTATGTGCAGAATGATGTGATATCTTCCATTTGAAAGTTTTACTTACAGGTAAATTTTAACTTGAAATCTTATGAAAATTCAGTATTCCCAATTCTTTACCAAAAAACCACTAAATAGCTTATTTAAAGTAAAAGTAAATGTATCAGGTTATTCTATTAGGACGAAAATGATCCAGAATAGTAAACTAATGGTCTTGGACACATTATTAAATTTATTCCTTGAAAACAAAATCATCAAATACAAAAACCGGTTTTACTACTACGATCCGTGTTGCTGCACACCATAGAGAATTTAGCCTTTGCTTGTTTCTACTCATCAACACCCCTGCTGACCACCTGGTCGATGTAGCCTTCTCCTCCCTGGTTGCACACGGACTGCTGGCCTCGCCAATTTGCTGTACACACAACGCCCATACTCTGTGCGAGGCCAGGCAGGGACATGCATGGGGTTGTCCAGAAAGCTCTGACTTGAACATTGGGCGAGCTGGCAGGTAAGAGAGGGGGCTCACTGCCGCCTGATATTATCCGATCTATGAGATCAGTGAGGTCTTGCACCTTAGATTGGACTTCAGAGCCTTGACCCTGAAGGAATCGCCACTCAACTGATTCACATATGCCCAGATCCTCTCATGTCTCACATCCAACATCTTTGACTGCTAATTTCTCCTCCTCATCCACATTGCAGATATTGTCTGCAGAACTGCCTGGATGGAGCATACCAGAAGATCTCTCGTCATTCGCTCCACAATCTGAACAACCTTCCTTATTGACTTCTTGGTGAGCTCAAAGCTGGAAGAGAATATGCTCTCGGACTCGAGAACTTATGATTCTGACCTTTGGTGTTGGAACCACTGGGTAAGTAGACACCACGATGAATTGGACAAAAAGTCTCAGGTTGTGAAGTTGGTTCCTTTCAAGCCAAGGATGAGCGACCCAAATTCTGCAGAACTGAGAGCTGCTAGAAAGCCACCTAGAATGTGGGAGACTGGGACCCATTCTGTACAGGTAAGCGTTCATCGGTAAGCATGACCCCTGCCTTTGGATGGTGGCACTGCAAATCATGCAACCAGTACCGGTCAGCATCAGGTCACAATGACAGTATGTGCAAGCTCAACCCAGTGGAGGGCCAACGAGATTTTTTCAAAGTGCCTTGATTTATTTGTAACTCAGTGGCAGAGTCCAGCATCTTGCCAAGAGGACCAGACCATCTGTTGTTTGAAAGAGTCTGCCATCCAGCTCCTGGATCAGAGGCCGAGTGGCAACCAGCTGGTGTGAGGTCATGGAAAAAAAAAAAAAAAAAAAAAAACAATCAAGAACCAGCTTCCTCTCAATCTTCCGGCCGCAGGATCCACTGTATGACCCCCTACACCTATAGGTTTTGAAGTTGGTGTTGTCCTCCAATGGCCTGCAGGGTCTGGTCTAATGCTCTCTGGAGCCAGTTCAATGTTATCTGCCAACATCTCAGCTGGTTTCCTGATGTCATCTTTTCTCTGGAGGAATGCTTACAACATTCTCCCGTTCACTGCAGGAGTAGTGTTCTTCCACCAGCGGTAGGAACAACTTGCTGAATTCAACTCATGAACACTTTAGTGCTATCCCTTCCCATCTAAGAACAAACACCGATTCCATTTTCATCCCCTTATCAAACCTCTTTCAGGTTACTGGACAAGTTTCCTGAGCCCTTACTTTGTTATGACCATGACCAGGTGAACATCATCAGGTGTTATCAACCACCGTCAATCCAGGCAGCTGTTGCTATTTCTGCAGATTCTGGAGCATCTTTAATGGTGTCGTGATGTTGGCCAGAGCTATGCTCGGATATTCTTCTATTTAATCTTATGCCTGGAAGGTTTGGGATCATTATTTTTCAAGTAGTATCAAAGTCACCATTCTCCTGGTCACACTCGATCAGCCATGGGAAGTCATTAAACCTGAACCGCTTGACCCAATCATCGCCTTGCCCCAATTTGGCCTTCAAGTTTTTTCCTCGGCAACCTTTCTCCTTCGTCTTCTGTAAGGTGCCCTGCCCTGACCCTGAATATCTTGATAGAAATCATGAGAGCCCCTATACTCATCTTCAGCTGGATTAAATGCCAGTCTGACTGAAGAAAAATCTCAGTTCACGCTATAAAGCCTACAGGAGACGTGGGCCTCGATTTGCAGTCACGATCGATCCAAACTCAGGACAGAGAGACATCTGGGCATTCTGGTAAGTAATTATGTCAAATAACTGGTCCAGCTGGTTGGGGTGTGCCTGTCCTTAACTGGTAAAGTGCTTCCCAAGAGAGATATCTTTGGCCTTCCCAACTGGCTAGCAGTCTCACAATCTTCTGATTTGGTTATGACTGGAGGCTTGAACTGAGCGTTAGCCAGAGGTACTGTGCCAAGACTAGCTTTGGTCATATCACTTCGGCAATGTGTCTTTGTTTGTGTTCTTGGTCTTTTCACTGATTTGCCTGATTAAAACACCGTATCCTCAAAGACCTCACCGTAGCCAACTCCGGACGTGAGCCTCCCAAGACCTGGTTAAAGTGACTGGAGATGGCCATTTTTTGCCCTCGTCCGACACAAGCAGCCATCGCAAATATTATCAACTTATAAACGCATCAGAATCTGGAAATAAGAAAAAAGCTGTTGTTAGTTGGGTTGTTAAAGAATGAAGTTGAAAGAAGGTTCACTATTTAATTGTGGCCGCACTAATGCAGCTGTACGTTAGATTTTCGATAAATTTCACGCTAAAATTTACCTAGCAAAAGGTTGCAAAATATTGAAACTGAAATTATTGGTTTATATACACTAAAATCTACCAAAAAAGTGATGGGCCATTAGTTTTAATGATCTTCCCTCCTATGACACACCCTATTATACCGTAGTAAACAAATAACAACCATAGGAACTATCTGTATTGGCCGGTTTAAATAATTTGTTTGAAAGACACATCATTATATACTCAAGCTTGTTGTTAGTAAATGTGCTGGTGACTCCTGGTGTATCTACTGTTGGTCGATCACCAGTGGTAAATAAGTTAGAGCAAGATAAGACAAATCTTAGGTTGTCAGTGAAAAAAGTGACTGGGGGAACAGATCAATGTGATGAGTATAGATCAAACAACAGGAGGAGGACTACTGATTACACAACAGGAGGAGGACTACTGATTACACAACAGGAGGAGGACTACTGATTACACAACAGGAGGAGGACTACTGATTACACAACAGGAGGAGGACTACTGATTACACAACAGGAGGAGGACTACTGATTACACAACAGGAGGAGGAGTACAGATTACACAGCACGAGTGCAGGTTACGCAGCACGAGTGCAGGTCACACAGCAGAAGGACCCTGCAGTACAGTATTAGCCTTCCTTGTGCTGATGCAGCTTCTCTCACCTGCTTGGGGCCGGCCACACACTGCTGGATGTGGACCCTGGCGTCCCTGGGGGAGACGATGGCCAGACAGCGGCTGCCCTGAGCTACAGCCCTGGTCCTGTGTCAGCGTCCACTCCTGCGTGGTCCGCTCCCCGATACATGAGGTCACCTCCACCAGCTGTTCTGATGACTCTTCTGCCTTCTGCTGTTTCTGCAAGATGGTCAATAGCATACATTATAAACATCTTCTGAAGCACGGCCACAACATGGGGACAGCACAGTTAGACAACAGTGTGTAACAGAACCAGTACTTGCCAACAGTGTAAGATGAACCAGATTCTTGCCAACAGTGTGTAACAGAACCAGTACTTGCCAACAGTGTGCAACAGAACCAGTACTTGCCACCAGTGTGTAACAGAACCAGTACTTGCCACCAGTGTGTAACAGAACCAGTACTTGCCAACAGTGTGTAACAGAACCAGTACTTGCCACCAGTGTGTAACAGAACCAGTACTTGCCAACAGTGTGTAACAGAACCAGTACGTGCCAACAGTGTGTAACAGAACCAGTACTTCAACAGTGTGTAACAGAGCCAGTACGTGCCACCAGTGTGTAACAGAGCCAGTACTTGCCAACAATGTGTAACAGAGAACCAGTGCTTGCCAACAGTGTGTAACAGAGTGCCAGTACTTGCCAACAGTGTACAGAGCCAGTACTTGCCAACAGTGTGTAACAGAGAGCCAGTACTTGCCAACAGTGTGTAACAGAGAGCCAGAACTTGCCAACAGTGTGTAACAGAGAGCCAGTACTTGCCAACAGTGTAACAGAGAGCCAGTACTTGCCAACAGTGTGTAACAGAGAGCCAGTACTTGCCAACAGTGTGGATAACAGAGCCAGTACTTGCCAACAGTGTGTAACAGAGCCAGTACTTGCCAACAGTGTGTAACAGAGAGCCAGTACTTGCCAACAGTGTGTACAGAGAGCCAGAACTTGCCAACAGTGTGTAACAGAGCCAGTACTTGCCAACAGTGTGTAACAGAGCCAGTATTTGCCAACAGTGTGTAACAGAGCCAGCATCTTGCCAACAGTGTAACAGAGAGCCAGTACTTGCCAACAGTGTGTAACAGAGAGCCAGTACTTCAACAGTGTGTAACAGAGAGCCAGTACTTGCCAACAGTAACAGAGCCAGTACTTGCCAACAGTGGAACAGAGCCAGTACTTCCCAACAGTGTGTAACAGAGCCAGTACTTGCCAACAGTAACAGAGCCAGTACTTGCCAACAGTGTGTAACAGAGCCAGTACTTGCCAACAGTGTGTAACAGAGCCAGTACTTGCCAACAGTGTGTAACAGAGCCAGTTCTTGCCAACAGTGTGTAACAGAGCCAGTACTTGCCAACAGGTAACAGAGCCAGTACTTGCCAACAGTGTGTAACAGAGCAGTACTTGCCAACAGTGTGTAACAGAGCCAGTACTTGCCAACAGTGTGTAACAGAGCCAGTACTTGCCAACAGTGTGTAACAGAGCTATTGATTTTGCTGCTTGCAGCGGCTACTTTATTGTGCACCCCACACTCATCCTGTGAGCGGTAGCAAAAGGATTACAGAGTAGGGTTTACAAAGGGTCATAATAATTAACCCTGGTGTCAGATATTAAATGGAAAGTTACACAGTATTTCATTTACATTATTTGTTTAGTTCTATACATAGAGGGTAACTTATTCACAAATGCGTGAGAACAGGCGTGTGAGGCAGTATGTCTGGCCTCACACTTTATTATTCACATTTACGTGGAGGTATTCAAGCACATTGCTGTGTTTGGTCTGTAAATGAGAACTGATATAGTTACTGAGTGCAAAAAGTGGATACAATCTAATATGTCGGCTATCTTGCCATTAGAGATGAAGTGTGTGCCATTTCACACACAGTGTGCTTGGACCTGTCCCAAAGGTTCTATCTTCACACAGTCGAGGACGTAGTAGCTGAAGTGTGTGGCCATATGTATGGCCACACACTTACATTTAGTTTTGTTTACATCTGCTTAGGAACATACTGCCAGAGGTACTATATCTCAACCTTAATCTAGCGGTTACAACATCTTGTAATCTAGTGATCTTGTTACTTGCTCCATATACATGTTTCACTTGGATACATCTCATCATGGTAAACTATGGATCGACTAGTGCCTGTTTGCACTTGTCTACTTGCGTCAAACTCATCAATAAGTTCTTTCCTAATTACAGTTTTAAGGTTTTTGACAGACCCAAATTGTATTCAACGGTGCCAGTACTTGCCAACAGTGTGTAACAGAGCCAGTACTTGTCAACAGTGTGTAACAGAGCCAGTACTTGTCAACAGTGTGTAACAGAGCCAGTACTTGTCAACAGTGTGTAACAGAGCCAGTACTTGTCAACAGTGTGTAACAGAGCCAGTACTTGCCAACAGTGTGTAGCAGAGCCAGTACTTGTCAACAGTGTGTAACAGAGCCAGTACTTGCCAACAGTGTCCTAGCAGAGCCAGTACTTGCCAACGGTGTGTAGCAGAGCCAGTACTTGCCAACAGTGTAACAGAGCCAGTACTTGCCAACAGTGTGTAACAGAGCCAGTACTTGCCAACAGTGTGTAACAGAGCCGAGCTTGCCAACAGTGTGTAACAGAGCCAGTACTTGCCAACAGTGTGTAACAGAGCCAGTACTTGCCAACAGTGTGTAACAGACCCAGTACTTGCCAACAGTGTGTAACAGACCCAGTACTTGCCAACAGTGTGTAACAGAGCCAGTACTTGCCAACAGTGTGTAACAGAGCCAGTACTTGCCAACAGTGTGTAACAGACCCAGTACTTGCCAACAGTGTGTAACAGAGCCAGTACTTGCCAACAGTGTGTAACAGACCCAGTATCGCCAACAGTGTGCAAATTGGTATTTTTTTGTGTACTTGTCAACAGTGTGCAACAGATTTCAGTACTTGTCAACAGTGTGTAGCAGACCCAGTACTACAACAGTGTGTAACAGACCCAGTACTTGCCAACAGTGTAACAGAGCCAGTACTAAGCAAATAGTGTCTAGCAGAGCCAGTAATTTCACAACAGTGTGTACAGACCCAGCATCAAGCAACAGTGTGTGTGTTTCAGTACTTGGCTAACAGTGTGTAACAGAGCCAGTAATTTGCCAACAGTGTGTAGCAGAGCCAGTACTTGCCAACAGTGTAACAGAGCCAGTACTTGCCAACAGTGTAACAGACCCAGCACTTGCCAACAGTGTGTAACAGAGCCAGTACTGCCAACAGTGTAACAGAGCCAGTACTTGCCAACAGTGTGTAACAGACCCAGCATTTGCCAACAGTGTGTAACAGACCCAGTACTTGCCAACAGTGTGTAACAGAGCCAGTACTTGCCAACAGTGTGTAGCAGAGCCAGTACTTGCCAACAGTGTGTAACAGAGCCAGTACTTGCCAACAGTGTGTAACAGAGCCAGTACTTGTCAACAGTGTGTAACAGAGCAGGCAGTACGCCAAATTAACGTAACAGAGCCACTTGCCAACAGTGTGAACAGAGAGCCAGCACTTACAACAGAGAACAAAGCACATACTGCCACAATGTGTAACAGAGCCAGTACATGCCAACAGTGTGTAACAGAGCCAGTACTTGCCAACAGTGTGTAACAGAGCCAGTACTTGCCAACAGTGTCCATTATCACACTTGAACAACTAAGATCAGCCAACACACCAAGAATAAAGAACACACTACCTTATCAGCGGGTGGGTCAGGCCCCTGTAAGCATAGGTTGAGTTGTCTCAGCTGACCGTACGCCAACTCGTGTCTTGAAGGGGTGGCCAACTCCGGGTAGACTGTCTTCAGGTACCAACCGAACCCACGACACCCCAGTCTTGTCCTCAACTCCTTCCTGTCTGTCACGCTGTAAACACACATACACCAGTGGTTATACACACACCAGGGGTTATACACACACTAGGGGTTATACACACACCAGGGGTTATACACACACCAGGGGTTATACACACACCAGGGTTATACACACAATTGTGGGGTTGGCTATACACACACCAGGGGTTATACACACACAATTGTGGGTTATACACACACTAGGGGTTATACACACACCAGGGGTTATACACACACTAGGGGCTATACACACACCAGGGGTTATACACACACCAGGGGTTATACACACACCAGTGGTTATACACACACCAGGGGTTATACACACACCAGGGGTTATACACACACCAGGGGTTATACACACACCAGGGGTTATACACACACCAGGTTTATGTTAACACTAGGGGTTATACACACACCAGGGGTTATACACAATACCAGGGGTTATACACACATCTAGGGGTTATACACACACCAGGGGTTATACACACACCAGGGGTTATACACACACTAGGGGTTATACACACACCAGGGGTTATACACACACTAGGGGTTATACACACACCAGGGGTTATACACACACCAGGGGCTATACATACACCAGTGGTTATACACACACTAGGGGTTATACACACACCAGGGTTATACACACACCAGTGGTTATACACACACCCAGTGGTTATGGCCACTGACACCAGGGGTTATACACACACCAGGGGTTATACACACACCCTCAGGGGTTATACTACTACTACCTCAGGGGTTATACTACCACACCAGGGGTTATACACACACTAGGGGTTATACACACACCGGGGTTATACACACACTAGGGGCTATACACACACCAGGGGTTATACACACACCAGGGTTATACATACACATGAGGGGTTATACACACACCAGGGGTTACACACACCAGGGGTTATACACACACCAGGGGTTATACACACACCAGGGGTTATACACACACCAGGGGTTATACACACACACTAGGGGTTATACACACACTGTGGGGTTATACACACACCAGGGGTTATACACACACCAGGGGTTATACACACACTAGTTATACACATACTCAGGGGTTATATTACCACATCAGGGGTTATACACACCACCAGGGGTTATACACACACCAAGGGTTATACATACATGAGGGGTTACACACACTAGGGGTTATACACACACCAGGGGTTATACACACACCAGTTATACACACACCAGGGGTTATACACACACCAGGGGTTATACACACACCAGGGGTTATACACACACCAGGGTTATACATAATACCAGGGGTTATACACACACACCAGGGGTTATACACACACACCAGGGGTTATACACACACCAGGGGTTATACACACACACCAGGGGTTATACACACACCAGGGGTCATACACACACCAGGGGTTATACACACACTTAGGGGTTATGGGCCAATAACTGTGGGGTTATACACACACCAGGGGTTATACACACACCAGGGGTTATACACACCAGGGGTTATACACACACCAGGGTTATACACACACCAGGGGTTAGTGCCACACACCAGGGTTATACACACACCAGGGCACACACACCAGGGGTTATACACACACCAGGGGTTATACACACACTAGGGGTTATACACACACCAGGGGTTATGTACACACACCAGGGGTTATACACACACCAGGGGCTATACACACACCAGGGGTTATACACACACCAGGGGTTATACACACACCAGGGGTTATATACACACACCAGGGGTTATACACACACCAGGGGTTATACACACACCAGGGGTTATACACACACCAGGGGTTATACACACACACCAAGGGGTTATACACACACCAGGGGTTATACACACACCAGGGGTTATACACACACCTCAGGGGTTATACACACACCAGGTTATACACACACTGTGGGGTTATACACACACTAGGGGTTATACACACACCAGGGGTTATACACACACCAGGGGTTATACACACACCAGGGGTTATACACACACCAGGGGTTATACACACACTAGGGGTTATACACACACCAGGGTTATACACACACCAGGGGTTATACACACACCAGGGGTTATACATACATGAGGGGTTATACACACACCAGGGGTTATACACACAATTAGGGGTTATACACACACCAGGGGTTATACACACACCAGGGGTTATACACACACCAGGGGTTATACACACCAGGGGTTATACACACACACTAGGGGTTATACACACACCAGGTTATACACACACCAGGGGTTATACACACACCAGGGGTTATACACACACCAGGGGTTATACACACACCAGGGGTTATACACACACCAGTGGTTATACACACACCAGGGGTTATACACACACCAGGGGTTATACACACACCAGGGGTTATACACACACTAGTTATACACACACCAGGGGTTATACACACACACCAGGGGTTATACACACACCAGGGGTTATACACAATACCACAGTGGTTATACACACACCAGTGGTTATACACACACCAGGGGTTATACACACACCAGGGGTTAAGTACACACACACCAGGGGTTATACACACACTAGGGGTTATACACACACACCAGGGTTATACTAATAATACCAGGGGTTATACACACACCAGGGGTTATACACACACCAGGGTTATACACACACCAGGGGTTATACACACACCAGTGGTTATACACACACCAGGGGTTATACACACACCAGGGGTTATACACACACCAGGGGTTATACACACACTAGGGGTTATACACACACCAGGGGTTATACACACACCAGGGGTTATACACACACCAGGGGTTATACACACACTAGGGGTTATACACACACCAGGGGTTATACACACACCAGGGGTTATACACACACCAGGGGTTATACACAGACCAGGGGTTATACACACACCAGGGGTTATACACACACCAGGGGTTATACACACACCAGTGGTTATACACACACCAGGGGTTATACACACTGTGGGGTTATACACACACCAAAGTGGTTATACACAATACCCAGTGGTTATACACACACTAGGGGTTATACACACATCTGTGGGTTATACACAATACCCTCAGGGGTTATACATACCAGTGGCTATACACACACCAGGGCTATACACACACCAGGGGTTATACACACACCAGGGTTATACACACACCAGGGGTTATACACACACCAGGGGCTATACACACACCAGGGGTTATACAATAATACCAGGGGTTATACACACACCAGTGGTTATACACACACCAGGGGTTATACACACACCAGGGGCTATACTAATACCACCTGTGGGTTATACACACAACCAGGGGTTATATTAATTATCACCAGTGGTTATACACACACCAGGGGTTATACACACACCAGGGGTTATACACACACCAGGGGTTATACACACACCAGGGGTTATACACACACCAGGGGTTATACACACACCAGGGGTTATACACACACACCAGGGGTTATATTACTGACACACCAGGGGTTATACACACACCAGGGGTTATACACACACCAGGGGTTTTCATACTACACACACCAGGGGTTATACACACACACCAGGGGTTATACACACAACAGTGGTTATACACACACCAGGGGTTATACACACACCGGGGGTTATACACACACCAAAGTGGTTATACACACACCAGGGGTTATACACACACACCAGGGGTTATACACACACCAGGGGTTATACACACACCAGGGGTTATACACACACACTAGGGGTTATACACACACTCCAGGGGTTATACACACACCAGGGGTTATACACACACCAGGGGTTATACACACACCAGGGGTTATACACACACCAGTTATACACACACCAGGGGTTATACACACACTAGGGTTATACACACACCAGGGGTTATACACACACTAGGGTTATACATACACCAGGGGTTATACACACACCAGGGGTTATACACACACCAGGGGTTATACACACCAGGGGTTATACATGTACACCAGGGATATACACACACCAGGGTTATACACACACCAGGGTTATACACACACCAGGGCTATACACACACCAGGGTTATACACACACCAGGGTTATACACACACCAGGGGTTATACACACACCAGGGTTATCTACACACCAGTGGTTATACACACACCAGGGTTATACTACCACACCAGTGGTTATACACACACCAGTGGTTATACACACACCAGTGGCTATACACACACCAGGGCTATACACACACCAGGCTATACTACCACACCAGGGCTATACACACACCAGGGGTTATACACACCAGGGGTTATTCACACACCAGGGGTTATACACACACCAGGGGTTATACACACACCAGGGGTTATACACACACCAGGGGTTATATTAACACACCAGGGGTTATACACACACCAGGGGTTATACACACACCAGGGGTTATACACAATAATTAGGGGTTATACACACACCAGGGTTATACACACACCCTCAGGGGTTACACACACCAGGGGTTATACACAATACCAGGGTTATACACACACCAGGGGTTAAGTACACACACTAGGGCTATACACACACCAGGGGTTATACACACACTAGGGGTTATACACACACCAGGGTTATACACACACCAGGGGTTATACACACACCAGGGGTTATTCACACACCAGGGGTTATACACACACCAGGGGTTATACACACACCAGGGCTATACACACACTAGGGGTTATACACACACCAGGGGTTATACACACACCAGGGGTTATACACACACTAGGGGTTATACACACACCAGGGTTATACACACACCAGGGCTATACACACACCAGTGGTTATACACACAATCTGCGGTTATACACACACTAGGGGTTATACACACACACCAGGGGTTACATGTCACCCCAGGGGTTATACACACTAGTTATACACACACCAGGGTTATACACACACCAGGGGTTATACACACACTAGGGGTTATACACACACCAGGGGTTATACACACACACCAGGGGTTATACACACACTAGG